CTTAAGCCCAAGAGTTTGAGGTTGCTGTGAGCTGTGATGCTACAGCACTCTACCGAGGGTGACAAAGAGAGACTCTGTCTTAAAGAGAAAAATAATACTGAATAAAGAGCACTATCTAGGCTGCACAGTTCTTTCTACTCACGTTCACACACGGGAACGCTGCTGTTCCACAGGCTTTTCAGTCCAGCCAAGATACAGTGACTAACTGAGTTGCCTTTTAACCGGAACCTGAGGAATAAACAGTGGTAGGAAACGTGTGAGCAAGTCCCCTCCCTCTCTTCATTTCTTCACTGATAGGGGCCCAGTTTCCTCACTGCACCTTCCTCACTGAGTAGCGCCTAGTTTTTAGATTCAGGCTCACTTAAATGTCTCGGGTCATTAGCGACCTGAATTGGTACTTGGCAGGAACTGAAGCCAAATTATTCTAAGGAATTGCAGTATCTGCTGACGGGCAAAGCAATGATTGCCAGTGAGTGCAATCATACGGGCTTCAGTGCCCAGCACCACCTGCTGAAGGCGCTGAACACAGAACCAGCCTTCTCTGTGCACCAGCCCCACACAGTCGGGGTCGTCCCTCACTGATGGCCTCTGATGTCCCACACATTCTCATCAGCGGGTCATGAAGAAGAACAGTTGTCAATTCAATGAACAATATCTGGAAAGACGACAGGCATTGTGCTTCTTGCTACTACAATTGTTATGGGCCAAAAGGAGGCTCACAGAAGCACACCGAGCCAAATGCTGAGGGACAAAAAGAAACATGAAGAGGGGAGCCTTAGTCGCCCTAAAATGCCATGACTATTGGATCCTGCTGTCCTTCTGAAATCTGAAATCATTCTGAAATTGGAAATCATTCCTGGGTGGTGGACTTTGTAAATGACAAAGATTCCTTGGAATTTATCAGAAACAACTACTCAATTGCCCAATCTTATTATGTCCCGATACTGCACACCACCAAGAGTAACGAGTACACATCAGAAAGTAATGGTACTGTCTGAAATAGTCACAGCAGTAAGTATGACCCCAAAAGCCATCACGGAAGATATGTGGGTGGATTAAAACATCCCCGTTCACTATTACAAATTCCACTATTGATTGGTTTTAAGTTTCCTGAAACAAGCCTTGTCTGACTTACAGGGTGAGCAATTTTTATCTTACTCATCAAACATTTTTTGTCTAGAAAACCTTCCATAATATTACAGGTTTTTTTTCCCCTCCCTCTAAATAAATACCCATCCACTTCAAGTTCCAATTGAGAACTCAAGACTAGTGTATTAATGTTTGTACTTGACATTGAGTTGTATGTGCCATCTTTTATTTATTTCCTGGTAGTAGGGCCACGGAGTTCCTCCCTACCCTCACTTCAAAATTGCTGCCCTTCCACAAGTTAATCTCCTTGGGTGCTTCCTTTCCACTAGGACAGCCCCCTTTGGGGATTAGCCCCTGATCTCAAGACAGTCACTGCCAGCACTGAGTCTGTGGTTTCTATTCTGGGTCACACTCACCCTTCATCACAAACAAAGGAAACCTTTGCTCCAAGCTGGAGATTAAGTGGAACTAGAACACGGCCATTAGGGAGATGGCCCAGGAAGTCATCACAGGATTTCACTGGAGCAAAAGAAAAACAAATTGAAACAACACTGGCACGTGGAGAATAAAGACACAAGGTAAAAACGTCAAGCCAGACGAGAGTCCAGGCACCTGCGCATCTGGGAGCTGCAGGGCTCCAGTCTCCCTGGGGTGTGCAGCGCAGGGAAGCAGCCCCCGTGAGGTCATAGCCAAGCTCACAGCTGTAGAACACTTCCTCCCCTGGGGAGAAGTTGTCCTTGTCACTTGGGGAATGTGCACCATGCAGGATGTCTGGGGGTGGCTGACACACTGTGGAAAAGACAGTTCCAAAGTGCTTGTTAGTTATGGGACAGTTTCTTTTGCTACACCCCATGCTTGCCAGAGACCTTAAAAACATAATTACGGAGTGCAATGTTAACAGACCTGTAGTTCAGTAGCCACATTTTACTGACAAAGAAACTAAGGATAGAGACTCTGACTGGAATCAAGATCTTGCTGATACCTTGTCTGTGTTTTTTCTACTGAAACGTGTTCAGAAGGCGACAAGGCAGAATATTCCTTTTGCTTCTAGGTACTAACCCTTCCATACAGATTCATGAGTGAATGCTGGTGGCTATTCCACCCTTACACGTCCCAGATTGGCAGCCTTTCAGGCATCCTCTTGAAGGCAATAACAAGGGATGCATTTTCCCGAGCTTCCTCTACCAGGCTCCTTCAGCTCCTGTGCAGACAGTCAGGAAACCTTCCTCACTTTCCCTCCCCACTCCTCCTTCAGTTGCCATGGGGCTGATCCATAAGCCCCTCTGTCTCTGGGCACCAGTCCCCAACGCTTCTCACTCTGCTGCTAAACCAGCCAATTCAGCATGAGAAGACAAGAGAGGTCATCAAAATCAAAATCCACTGCAAGGAAAAAATGCTGCAGACTTTTAAAATGGTTGTTTAGAGCCTATTTGACCCCAAATTTGGCTGCACGCACAGGCACCCCAATTGGTGTGTCCTTAGAACATCAGGGTGCGTTGGTGACTCAATTTGAACCATATATAATTGAAGGAAAATGAAAAAACATTGTCTGGATCTGAGCAAGGCATTTCCCCTTTCTGAGCTTCACTTGTTTCAGTAACCTATGTGGAGGAGCTGAAGTCCAAGGCCTTTTTAATGTGATGCTATTATTTCGGTCCCATGGCTCATCCGCCTGCCGACACATTCCGGTGATAGAGATATGACCATTCTGATTACATATTGTTACTGATCATACTTTCACTTTACATTATCACTGGGATCTGGAGTGAGAAAGACTCCTGCATTCCAGGTCTTGTTCTCTTTTTTACTAGCTTTTTTAGTACTAGGGATAAGAATAGTCGCTCCCCCATATATTTGTTTAAGTATTAAAGAATATGTTACAACGCGTGTATTAGAGATGAGACACAGAATAAACCAATACTTTCAGACAATTACTAACAGAGATAACAGGTAGTGGAGCTCATATTAATTTTAGGGTGTTTATACCCATTTCATAGTTCTCCCACATGCATGCACGTGCCCACACACACGCACAAGTGTCCATCTTTCTTAATTTCAACAACTCAGATCACTTGTGCCCACTCTCACCCCCTGGCAAAATCTGAATGGCTCTAACTCACCCCTGAAGCAGCGTGGCAGCTCAGGTCCCCAGCTGTTGTTGGTCTGGCACTGCACGGTGTCAGACCCTTTCATGACAAAGCCAGGCTGGCATCTAAATCTCACCCTCTCGTGGAGGGAAAATGAACTCCTATTTCCAGATTCTCTAATTGCATTTTCAACTTCTGGAACTGTGCATTTATTAGCAGAAACACACCGAGGGGGAGGGCCACTCCATACACCAACTTGATTATCTTTGCTGGTGCAGTATATTGACTGTTCTCCCCTGAGGTCAAACAGCGTTTCCCCGTCTGGCCCAGTGTGACACTGGTAAGTGACCACTGCTCCATGGTGAAAAAACGTTCTATTGTTGCTGTAGAAGTCGCCATTGGATATGGCTGGAGGCGGCTCACAGGATATACCTGAAAAAAGAAAGAATGCAGTGAACACCAGCTTATTATTTTTGTAACGATGAATTATACTACTATAAATTTAAATCACAAATACACAGAGCTGAACGACGTCCTAAGTTAAAACTAATTACAATTCTGTTTGTTCTTATATTTGCCAATAATCTGACATGGTTTTACATAGTTGAAATTTACGTGTGGGTGATATGGGTTCTGCTCATAATAAAAATTTCATGTAAAAATATCCCTAGGTTATTAGGGCTTATGTATTTATGATTTTAAGTGGAAAATTCATGTGATTTTTATCACAGAATTTCTAAAGCATTTATCTACTGCTGGGATACTTTTTTATATTGGTTATTTAATAATGTCTTGGCAGGTTAAATATCCCACTTCTGGCATTACTTATCAAGAAAAAGAGAGAAAAGGAAATAAAAAAGATAAAGCATGAGAAATGAAATAATCATAGTTTCAGGGGTAATACTAATGAAAAGATAAAGATGTACGATGTTCTGTCTTAAGATAATGGTGAAAATATTCATATAAGTGACTACACACACACACACACAACATGTGACAAACTCAATCAATTAAATGATTATTGACCTATAAGTATAGAAGTGAAAACACTTTTTATAGGCCTAGATTATTTTTATAGTAAACTGATAATTCTTGGATAATTTGAATTTTTCATAGAATTTTAAATTCTTGGCAGGTAAAGGAGGCACTTTATATAGTTTCTGATCCATTTCCTTTGAATTTTTTTTGCAATTTTTGGCCAGGGCTGGGTTTGAACCTGACACCTCTGGCATATGGGGCTGGTGCCCTACTCCTTTGAGCCACAGGTGCTGCCCTCCTTTGAATTTTTAAAAGTCAATGCCATTAAAATGAAAAGAAAAAAATGTAAATGGTCCAAAGATAACAATTTAATGTATATCCTTTCAGATACATATGTGTGTACATGCATATATACGTGTGGATGTATTTTCTGTAATATCATATTTGGTGGCTGAATAACATTCAGTCATGTAGATACACAAATGTGCTCTATCCGCACTGGGAGGGGCATCTCAACCTTGGACTCCTCATGACACTTCGTTACCTTTTTTTAAAAACATACAGCTATTTTCAACGAGCCTTGTTTCTCTACTAGCTATTTACAGACCATGCTGAACATTTAGGTTGTTTAATGCTTTCCACTATCATAAATGTTATTGCATTGAGTATCTTTAGACCAAAATCATGGAATTTTCCCATGATTTTGGTCGGGAGCGGAGTTAGATAAATTCTGGGAAATGGAACTGCCGGGTCAAAGTCTATTTACTTTCAAGCTTTTATACATATTGGTCATTAGTCTTCCAGAAGTTCATGCCCACTTTTGATGCCATCAGCTCTGTATGCTGATTTCTTTGTAGCCTTAAGGCTTTGTTAGATTGCCATTAGTCATTGTTTCATGTTCTCAAAGTTTTGGGGGGGGGTTCGTTTAAAAATATCTCATGGGAAAGATGGAGGGTCAGCTAATCAATTACAAATACAACTAATAGCATGAACCGGAAGGACTATGAAGGAAGATTAGAACTCAAAATGGCCAGGGGGCAATTGCCAAGAATTATGAATCTTTTCATTATTCAGAGTCAGAACAATAAGAATGGGATTAGTCCAGAATTGTAATGTGATAGTAAGGGTTGATAAAGACAGATCTGATTTAGTCTAACGACTTTAAACTTTCCTCACTAAGGAGAATGATCTTTGTACTGGAAGGAGTTTATTATCAAAATAGGAAAGTAGGGCTATTTTACCTGAGTTCAAGTCCACAATTTATCTGAGTTCAAGTTCACAGTTTAAATTATCTTTTAAGATAAAGAAAAGACAGGAAGAAGCACCTTATTCCTATTCTCAAAATATTTGAGAGATCGCTTTGTACAGGAAAGATTAGATTTCTTGTTTGTAACTTTGGAAGCAAGTCAGGATCAAAGGGAGGGATTTATGGAGAACAATATTTCCACTCACTCTCACAAATAGGTGCCTCTTTATCCCATGTGACGTTATTGCCCGAGAGGACACAAACAGTAGATGGGGAACCAATGAGTCGATACCTAAAGCAAAGAATGAACAATGATCATACCCTACCCATATTTCCCATTTAAGTCACCACTTATAGAATAGTAGCAGGTAGACATTACAAATTACAGGACGATTTGCAATATGGCAGATCTCAGAAAAAAGAAACTCCACCTCCACCTGCCAATTAGTCCTTTATTTTAAAGGACAAGCTTAGATGCTTACCTCTTCAATTCATCTATATTTCGTGTACCTCACAACTGACTGAGGTATTTCCCTTATTCCTCATGGAATGTTCCAGAATCATGGAATTTTCCCATGATTTTTGTCTTTAAGGAGCCTCACAGAGCTTTTTTCCATATGTACTTCATCCAGGAGATAAGCTCCTTCATTAGCTGGGAGGATGTCTTACTGAAGTACGTAACCCCCTGCAGCATATACCTTAAACTAAAGGCTTTCAAGCATGGGGTACTCAGAAGGAAAGAATGGTGGCTTTACTATGAAGAGTCAGTAAAGAAGAGCCAGAGGAGAGAGAGCTAAACATCTTCACACTTAAAGTGTAAAATGAATAGATACTCACTCATTCTGCAATAAAACCCTTCAGAAGTAATTGCAATTTTTCCAAGCCCAGTCAAACACACATATGTATATAGGATATTTTTTCCAAATGGGTCATTACTTTTCTAAATTTAGAACAATATCTATATGCTTCTCTGCAAATTTTTTTTTCTCAGTTAACTCTGCATCGTGGTCACCCATTCAAGTTACTAATAGAGATCTAATTAAGTCTTTACGATTACTGTCAGCTAGTTCATAAGGTAGGTATCTTACAAGTTATTCAACCTACTGTTAATAAAAGGATGGGAGAGTTTGCTCTTTTTGCTTATCTACACAATATTGCAATTAATAACCTTTTGCATTACTCATTTTCCCAAGAATGAGATGAGTAGGTAAGAAGATATCCACGGTTTCACAATTTGTGGACGGTATGAGATTATTTTTCTAAAGGCTCTAACAATTCACAGTTCCAATGGGTCACAATGAGAGGACTCATTTCCTCAAAATTCTTATTTACATCTACTTCCCTCCTTTAAAACTTTCCCAGTGTTGTCCCAAGAAAACATGAGACATTGTTGTTTTAATTTATATTTTCCTAAGTCATAGTGAAGTTGGACATTACTGATTAAATGTTAATATTTGGCAGCCATTTTTATTTTCTGTTTTTGACCTAGTTGTGTATATTCCCCGTTCATTTTTGTATCAGATTGTCCATTGATTGATCATCAATTGTTGTGTGTTCTTAACTTTCTCTATGTTTTACCTTATGCAAAATTTTCCCCTAGTCTATTGCTTGTCTCTTGATCTATTGTGTATTTCTGCACACTAACATTTTAATTCTTCCATACGTCACTCTGTACATACTTAGATCTAACAGCTGATCTGGTTGGGAAGGGGACCATCTTCTTCTTCCCTCTGAATTTCTAGCCAGACCATCCAAGTTAACCCTGGGGACCTCAGGAAGCTGTGTATTTGGTTAGAGAGAGCTTCCTTGCTAGTGGTGAAGACCGTTCTTTAGTTAAGAGTACAAGTACGTAAGGCAGAGTTTTATCTTTAAAACTACTGAACAGACTCTCATATATATTAGCATTTGTTTTATGTTTTTGTTTTCATTGTGTACTGGACCAGGTATCAATAAAAATAAACAAAATATTTTAATTCTATTTGTTATTTTTTAATTTAAATTCTTATTTTCTTTATATTGCTACCCTGGTCTTCTTCTTTCTTGATATTTACATCATATATTTTAAAAAATTGTCCTTTTTATTGTTATTAATAGTGAAAGAGAAATAACAAAATTTGCCATTTAAACCACCTTACCTGTATAACTCAGTAGCATCAATTGCAATGATAATGTTGTGCAGCCATCATCACTATTTTCCAAAATTTTCTTCACCCCACACAGAAACTCTGCATATATCAAGCAATAACACCCTCTTCTCTCCTCCACTTAGACTCTGGTAACCTCTAATGTACTTCTTTTGTCAATGAATTTGCCTATTCTAAGTATCTCACATTAAGTGGAGCTATACATTATTTGTCCTTTTTTGTCTGTCTTATTTCACTTAGTGTAATGTTTTCAAGATTTATCTATTTGTATAGATAAATAATATTCTACTGAATGTATGTACCAGATTTTGTTTATCTATTCATTGTTTGATAGATGCTTGGGTTGTTTCTACATTTTGATTATTATGAATCATGCTGCTGTGAATATTGGTATTTGAGTGCCTAAGTCCCTGTTCTCATTGTTTTCAGATACATACCCCAATATCATATAGTAATTCTCTGTTTAACTTTTTGAGGAACTGCCAAACTCTTTTCCACAGTGGCCGCACTATTTCATATTCCTATCAGCAATATATATGTATAAGGGTCCTCACTTCTCCAAATCTTCAACATTTTTATGCTTTATTTTTTTTAATTACCATTATTATATCATAAAGGCATAAAGTGGGTTCAGTTTGCTTCTCCCCAATGACAAGTGATATTGAGCATTTTTTCATGTATTTATTGGTCATTTGTAGGTCATCTTTGGAGAAATATCTATTCAAGTGCTTTGCTCATTTTCAAATTGGGCTTTTTAAAAAAATTTGACTTTAGGAGACCTTTATATAGATTTAATATTAAACCCTTATCAGATATAGGATTTGCAAATATTTTCTCCTATGGGTTGTCCTTTCACTGTCTTTTTTTTTTTGCAGTTTTTGGCCAGGGCTGGATTTGAACCCAGCACCTCCAGCATATGGGGCCAGTGCCCTATCGCTTTGAACCACAGGCGCCACACACCTTTCACTGTCTTTACAGTGTCTTTTGTGCATAAGTTGAAAATTTTAATGGAGCCCAATTTATCTGTTTCTTCCTTTGTTACTTGGACTTTTGGTGTCATATTCAAGAAGCAATTGTCAAATTCAAGGATATGAACACTTGTCCCTATATTTTCCTCAAAGAGTTTTATAGTTTTAGATCTTAACTTTCAGTCTTTGATTCATTTTGACTTAATTGTATATGGTGTAAGTTAAGGGTGCAGCTTCATTCTTTTACTTGTGGATAGCCAGTTTTTCCAGGACTGTTTGCTCTCTCCCTATTGAATGATCATGGCAACTTTATTAACAATTCAATTGACCATAGATGTGAGGATTTATTTCTGGCATATCAACTCTATTCCTTTAGTAATATGCCTATGTGCAAGCTATCATCTCCATCCAGCAGACCTATTGCTTACGTTTTAAGGCAGAGTGCCAGTGGTCTGGTTTGTATATGGCTGAGTCAGAGCCTGGCATTGTTGTTCTGGAACTCACATTTAAGAGACAGAGTTCCCAACTTACCCTTCATTACAAGAATAATTAACTATTGATCCAAATTGGGTATCTGTGTTTATCTGCACCATTCCATTGAAGGGTTCTGGAGGAGTTCCACATGATTTTCCTAGGGGGAAGATGCAGAATTTAGGACCAAGTGTAGAGTTCAATTCACCTGTGTTTGTAAGGCTCAGCTAGAGTGCAGCATACCGGGCAGCATATTTAGTTCTGATGGTTCCATGGAATTGATTGCTAACCAATTGCAGAATCAAGCAGCTACAGAGTCTTTAAAAAAGACTACATTGCATCTCCTAATACAGGCCATTTATGGCTGAAGAGTTGTACTCTCATCTAACCAGCTGAAATCAAAGGCCTTAAAATTTGGGATTTCCTTTCTCTCTTTAGTTAACCAAGTGTGATTCACTGCCACCCACAGAATTTTCTTCTATTGCCCTAGTTTTGTTTATGGTTTCATTCATGGTTTTAGCCATTAAGGGTAATCTGTAGTGAATGGAAATCTTCTCTTCAGTTACTGTTGTGAGAACCATCCCCGTGAAATGAGTATATAGGCAAGCTGTAGAAACTCCATGCAATAAGAAGGAGTCACCAGTAAGGTCACTGTCCATTTAAACACCTTGGGCAAATTTAAAATCTTGCTTCTAAATTTTGAACAAATTAAATATGACGCCACAGATGCCTTGGAATACAGGAAATAGCTCCCATGGTGGGGTTACTTACGTCTACAGATGTCTTTGACACTTGACCAGACCAAGTTTTCGAGGCAGGTGATAGAGAACATGCTCCCCAAATACCCAGGGTGGCACTCATAATTCAGAGACGTGCCAACAGGAAACTCGGACTCAACAGTTGGGGTTATAGGACGAGCAAATGAAAATTGCTCTGGGAGTTTACAGTGACCTGGAGAAGAAAATCACAGGAATACCCAAATTAGCAGAGAGATATCTGCCCCACCTCTTCTTTCTCTTCAATTGAGCTGATAGATAGGACCACAGAAGCCAAGAGACTTTCAATAATGGCCAAAGATTTTCTTCCCCTGGAAGTTACCTTAGGATGGAGCATTTTGGTGGCATCTACTTATCAGAAAATTTTTATTACTTGGAAGACCATTCAGCTTTCTGGCCTTTCTGCTCTTATTTCACCTGAGTGAGAACTTCAGCCCATAATTTCACACATCAGGCCTCCTATTTCAGTGCCCGTGTCCCGAGTTACCCATTAATATCCTCAGTTAGTGGTGCTAATGCCCTCATGTATAGCAGGACACACTTTGTCATCTCTCTCTGACTGCTCCTGCCTACTCCATTCTCACCCTAAGCTGCTTCTCTGGCACTAAATAGCAGTTATCATGTGTAGGGGTTTGAATGTTGTCCCCTTGAAAGAGAGACCCACACAGAATGGGAACTTAATTGGAATAATGGTTGTCTGACGTATTATAATTAAGATCTCAAGATGAAATCATCTTAGATTTAGGGAAGGCCCTAAATCCATTGGTGTCCTTATAAGGGAAAGGAGTGGAGGGGTTGAGACAGAAAAACACAGGGGAGAAGGCCATGAAGATGGACGCGGGGATGGGAGTGATGCACCCATAGGCCGAGGAGTGACAGGGGCCACCAGAAGCTGGAAGAGGCAAGGGGTGAGTGTCCTCTTCAGCTTTAGGAGGCAGTACAGCCCTGCTAACACCTTGATTTCAGACTTACAACCTAGAATACTGTAAGATCATAAATTTCTCCTGTTTTAAGCAACCTGGTTTATGGTAATTTGTTACTGCAGCCTGAGGAAACTAATCCAGCACTCTTCAGATGCTGAGGGAAGTATTTAAGGACAAGAACAAAGCAGATTAAGCCTGGCCTCACTCTTCTTTCTCAGGGGTGCCCTGGAGATGATGTGCTGTTCCAAGGCTGCTGTCACATCCCTAATCTCTAGCTTCCATTCTTGGAAAGGTTTTGGTCTAAAGGAGCAGGCAACTTCTCTCTCTAGTCCTTAGGAAGAAATAGCTTCTTCCTTTTTGTGTTCTTTTCTCTGGACAACTATCACTCCCAAGGTACAAACAATTCAAGAGCAAAGGTTTAGATGGGGCCCAGAGGCAAGCCGACAAGTGGAAATACTTTTAGTCGAGGTCTTAAGTTACAAAAACAGAGAGAACTTTGATAGTTAGCCCATTCAACAGGAGACTGTAATAAAATCTATATTGCCAGTTTTGTGCTTTTTATGCACATGTACCCGTCATGAACTTGTGGAGCTTGTACATTGGTTACCCTGACTCTGCTTAGTGTTCACAGGCAGTTGTTTGCACGTGCTCTCCAGTGAATACATTTTTCTTCCCGTTATACATAATTTGTGCCTTACAGCCTTCCCTCCATCCCTCCCCTCACTCCTCTCACCCTACCTCACTCCCAGTCCACCTGCAAGAAGACTTGTTGGCACCTCACCTATTCAAATGTACCTTGGCACTGCTGGAACCTGTTTTAGCTAGGTGTGTAATTTTGACACATGAAGGATTGGGTCCAGATATGCTGACCCCACTTTGGATATGTGGAAGCAGGTACTGACCAGCAGGAACGGAAAGCTCACAGCGAGGGGCGGGGCTGCTCCAAATCCCGTTCCCTTGACTGTCACTCGTGCAACGGATGGTGCTTGCCCCGATGAGGTCGAAGGTCACCCCTCCGTCTGGGTGTGAGTCACATGTATACGATATTTCTTTTCCATAGGGAATATTTCCCAGAGGAGTTTCTGTGTGTCTCCCATGAAGGATAGCTGGAGGATCTGGACAAAAGATTTCTAGAAAGAAGACAACAGCACTAAATGCTATTAAAATTTTAAACTTTCAGCCAGGTGCAGTGGCTCATGCCTGTAATCCTAACACCCTGGGAGGCCCAGGCAGGAGGATCCCTTTAGCTTAATTCCAGACCAACCCGAGCAAGAGCAAGCCCTGTCTGTACTAAAAATAGACAAGTTAGCTGGGCATTGTGGCAGATGCTGTCATCCCAGCTACTCAGGAGGATGAGGCACAGGGATCTCTGGAGTTCAAGAGACTGAGGTTGCTGTGAGCTATGATGATGCCAAGGCACACTGCACGACAACAGAGTGACACTCTGTCTCCCAAAATATGTTTTTTTAACTTTAATAATCTGAGGTGATTCTACAATTATGGGATTTTTAAATTTTTTTAACTTGAATAATCTGGGGTGATTCTACAATTATGGGATTACAATTGTGTTGCCAGTTAAGTCAATACCTTTTTTTTCCTTAAGGGGAGGAGAAACTACAACTAAATGTATTCAGCTTCTGCTGAGGTGGAGCTAAGTGCAATGACACCTAAATCAATGTGTATTACCAAGGTCCCAAAGAAACAAGCAGCTTGAATTCTTCAGATAGTTAAGGTTTCTGAATAATAATTGACCGTATTCCTTTAAAATAAATAAAAATCTGCTCAGCCACATTAAAGGGAAATCTCCCATTAATCCAACAAGCATTTCCTTGAGCACCTATTATGTCAAATACTATTTTGAGTGCAAGATAAACATCATATTTGACATCAAGGATCTTCACCCTAGGATCATCTTGATAAAACATATTGGACATTTCCTATTTGTGTATTAGTAATTTCATTTTTCTTAATGATGCCAGGCTATGGTTCTCAAAATAAAAAGGAAGGATTACAGTAATACTGTCACAATGGGATGAAATATACTGCGTAGGCCCGTGTGTGTTTCCAAAGGCCCAAGAATGTTAGGCCTTTGAAATGCTCATCGGTTTTTGCAGGTATTTTTTTTCACGGAGGAAACACACATTTATTCCTCTGAGTGTCTCTGTTTGGAGAAGCTCCTTCCCATTGTAATTTGATTTGGATTTGGAAGAGGCTATCATAGCTTCAAAGAATTGTAGATAAATTAATCCAAGGCTGAAATAGCTTAACCAGTGTTTACACTCTAGGAAGTGATTTCAGGTCTATCTTTGGATTCCTGAGGGTATTTTCTTTCTTTTGTTCAGACTTCTTAAATGTTCCAGGAAAGTTAAAATGGTCAAACAGCTGACTTCCATATATGAAAGACAAGATTATCGGGTTTCATTCTATAAGTTAGCACAAGACATCCAAGTAATTTTAAAGCAAAGGAAAGTATTTGTTTGAGCAAAATTCTGATGTAAACATGTAGTTTCCAATATCTGTGGTCAGAAGAGGAGGCAATATCCTGTTTGATTTAGTGAAGAAATAAATGGACAGATTGGAGATATCAGTAGTGTTTCTATGTTTAAACTACTTTTCTGTCTTCTTAAAAGCAAAATCGACCCCTTGGATCCATTTCCCTCTCCAGCTATACTCCTGTTTCTATACTCCTTTTACACGAAAACTCCTCTAAGATGCCATCTGTGACCTGATGCAAATCCTCCCGTTTATTCTCCCTAGAATTCATTGCAGTCAGGCGCAGGCCTCCAGGACTCCACCAAAACTGCTCTTCAGGCCACTTAGTACTCCTTCCGCCAAGTTGCTGGACACAACAATCAATTTTCTGTTCTCATCTTATTTGACTTCTCTATAGAATTTGACACAAGTGATTGCTCTCCTTAAAAAAAAAATTTCCCACTTCGCTTCCAGGACACCTCATCCTCCTGTGTTTTCTTTTACTACAATGTCTACTCCCTTTTAATCCCCTTCCCTGATTCCTTCTCATCTTTTCAATTCTTAATCCTTGATGCCCTAGCTTGGCCCAAGTATCCTAGCTGCACTTACTCCCTAGTTGATGATCTCTTTTAGTTCTGATTTTTAAGCATAATAGATACATTGAGGGCTTCTAAATATCTACATCCATCCTAGAACCCTCCAAGATATCCACTTGAGTATCTCCTGGGAATGCTAAACCATGTCCCAAGCTCAACTTTTGATTTCCTCCCATGCCCAAACTTGCTCTTCACATAGTCCCCTCCATTTTAGTTAAGAAATATTTTATCATGATAGTGGCACTGGCCCCAAACCTGGAAACCACCCGTTATTCTTCTCCTTCTCTCATACCCTCTATCTAAACCATCAGCAAATCCTGTCATTTCCACCTTCAGAATATATCCGGAGTTCAACCACTTTTCACCAGCTCCCCCAGCTGCTCTCTTGGGCCAATATCACTGATTGGACTGTTGCAATAGCCTCTCAATTGGAGCCCTCAAATACACTCCCAGGTTTATGGGGCTACATTTGCCTTTGGGGTCCTCCACTGCCTTCTCCACTGAAAGCACTGACCGATGCCATTGTCATCTCATTTCCCAACAGCAGTGGCTGTCTCAGCCTCCCTAAAGTGGGAGATGGGCTACCACACAGCCTCTCCTGGGCCTACCACACCAGATGTCAAAGTAGCTGCCACATTTAATGGCTTCCCATCTTGCTTATAGTGAAAGGCTGATTTCTTACAGGATGTACGGTGACTGACTTCTCCTGTGTCACATACTAACACCCTTCCTGTATTTGCTCACTCCCTACCACCCATTTTAGTTTCCCAGAAACTGGCAAGAACGGGCTTTTTACAGAGAATACCAGGAACATTTCTGCCTTGGACTGTTGGGACTTTCCGCTCCATCTACCAGTGAAGTTCTTCCTCTATATGTGCACACTGGTTGTCAACAAATTTTCATCAGTGCTCACATATTACATTCCCAGTCAGGATTCTTTGATTACCTTATTTAAAATTGAAACTTTATTCCTTTCCTGGGATTCTTTACCCCTCCTTTACATAACGATTTTCTTGCATTGCTCTGATTTTTCTCTTAATGATATGTAGCATGATTTAAAAATTTCTATGTCTTTATTTTTTTGTCTTCTATCCTTTTATGAAAATCTAAGCAACAGGGGAACAGGAACCTTGTCTTGTTTACAGGTAGAGTCCTGGTTCCCCGAAGACTTGTTGGCACATAATAGAGAAATTTGTTGCAAGAATGAACGTATGACTAAATGAATGACCTGGGAAAGGGTAGAGAAGGTGAATTGTGACTATTACTTTTGACAGGAAATAAATGAAACTTTTTGCCCAGCAGAATGCCACAAACTAATTTATAGAAGGCATTTCTTCCCATTTATGGCAAAAACTATGTTTATGAATATTTGTAGGATGGTACCTAAAACACACAATGCTCAGGTTTATTTTTCCCCCCAAAATATCCCTCATAACTATTCTAACAAAGAGCCACTTCTATCAAAACATACACAGAGGGACAGACATTAGATAATTCCCTGGGGCAAAAAATATTAAGGAAGAAAACAAAGAGAAAAAGACCCAGATCTGAGCAAATATTCCTCTACTCACTTTCACACACAGGAACGGTGCTGTTCCAAAGGCTTCTCGTTCCAACTAGGACACAATGACTGGCGGGGCTGCCCTTTAAGCGGAACCTGAGGAACAAAGGCGTCGTGCCTGGGTGAAGTGCACAGAGCACTCTTCCCTTCACGGACAGACCTCAGCTTCCTCCCTGAGAATCCCTAAATTAATTAGCCATGGAGTGTCAAAGTTAAAGTGCAGGTGCAAATCTCAACTCACGTGGTTCCTTACTGACAGAGGCTCAGAAACCAAAACATCACGGAAAAAGTGCAGCTTCCAGTGAGGGGCAAACCAGTTACAACTGGGAAAGCTCAGTAACCAGACAGACACTATATGGCTAGGCTGAGCTGAGGGCAGACGGCATTTCCCTGGTCTGGTGCTGGAGCTTCAGGAGGTCACCGCTCCCTGAGTGCTCTGAGAGGCCCTTTCTATCATTGGTAGGAAGGAATCCTTTATTGCAAAATGTAGGATTTCCCTCTCTTAGACAGTGGATCAGGGGAATTAGGTCGACAAATCATTAGGAAAGATGCTAGAGACCTTTCTTGCCAGTGCATCTGGAGCGTTTCTGAATTATACTTATGACATCTTTTGGATTATTGAAATGCAAAGCCACATTATCTGGGGAAAAGAAAAGGCAAGAAGAGAGCACCGTCTGGAGGAAATCAGGCAAAAATGTCTGGTTAATTGCCAGACCGATGGCCCCCGGAATTACCATTAGGTTAAGGTTTTTTTTTAACCTGCCAGTGGTGTTAGAATATAGCACTAAGATTATTTACATTCTCATAGCAACTAATGATGTGACTTGAAACACAAACATCAGTCTTCACACTGTCTCCAACAAACCCTCACACGATTTAAAGGACACAATTGGATTACAAATTCTTCTACACGCCAGAAAGATGCTTCTCCTTACTTTTTCATTTCTGTTTATATCCCACTATTGAGTCATATAAAAGCTTCATGGAATAATCTTTGCATGTTGTTCCTGTACAACTTGCTTATATATATCGAACTTTTCTTAGCAACCCTCTAAAATATTTATCTCCTGAAGCATACAAGTGGCTACTAACCCAGACACGTAATGATCCATGAATATATGCATGATTTGTTGCTAGAGTTCTGCTGTTGTTATTGCCCTTTTGTGGAAGCTAAACTTTTTTCAAAATGATTTCTGAGCCTCTATTAGTGAGAAACCAAGTAAGTTGAGTTGACTTCTTTTTCTAGGACTGGTGATTGTATTTATATTTGTACGTGACATTGAGTTATACGTACTATTTCCTTTTCATTTTCCAATAGTGGTGCCACTGAGTCCCTGCTACTTTATTTTAAAACTGCCCTTCTGGAAGTTCATCTCCCTGGGTACTTCCTTTCTACTAGGACAGTCCCCTTTTGGATTAGCCCCTGAACTTAAGAGAGTCACTCTTCCCCACTGAGTCCCATCCCTGGTCTTTATGGTGGGTCACACTCACCCTTCATCACAAACAAAGGAGACCTTTGCTCCAAGCTGGAGATTAAGTGGAAACAGCACACGGCCATTAGGGAGTTGGCTCAAGGAATGATCACAGGATTTCACTAGGAGGAAAAAAACAAAACCAAATCAAATAAAACTTCCACGTGAGGGGCAAAGAAAGTGGTCTAGAAACTTAAGGGGAGTCCAGGTACCTGCACATCTGGGAGCTGCAGGGCTCCAGTCTCCCTGGGGTGTGCAGCGCAGGGAAGCAGCCCCCGTGAGGTCGTAGCCAGGTTCACAGCTGTAGTACACTTCCTGCCCAGGGGAGAAGTTGTCCTTGCCAGTTGGGCTGTGCTCACCGTGCAGGATTTGTGGAGGTGGCTGACACACTGTGGAAAGAACAGTTTCCAAGGACTTGTTAGTCAGTTCCCAGAAATAGATTCTTCCTTCTGCGTTTGCACATTCCAGGATATTTCATATCAGAATGCAACTGAAGTTCAAGTTTCATTTTTCCATGAATATTTTGAGACTGTTTTGTATATTTGTCTCATCACAAGACTGCTGTTTTGCTTGATGGAGAGAAGATTTTCCTTTTGTTTGTTGCTTAGTCTTTTGTTTTAGGGGAGGAGACATTTGACGTTAAAGCAATCTGGCCCCCTGCGTCTCTTAGTCCACTGCTGTTTAGTTTTCTAATAAAGTTGGTTACTTATTTAAAAAAAAAAAAGTACTCTTTAGTTGTGGGGTGATTGCTTTTGCTATACTCTATGCTTTCCAAAGGCCTTGTAGCTAGTAAGAGGTACAGAAATAGAATCCAATCCCCCTAGCTGCTGAAGGTCTCAAATTCACTCGTAAGTCTGCAAGACGTGAGGTTTCTTCCCTCCCCCCTGGCTATCTGGTATAGAGAAATTAGTATTGGTGGATTCTCCACTTACATACTTCCCAGGAAGGCAAATCCAATTTTTAGCCTCATCGTTTAGAGAATGAGAAGGTCATTCTGAAGTGTCATCCTCCACCCATCTTTATATCTCTTTCTCTGCTCGTCCTCCCAGCTGCCCTCTCAGTGATTGTCTATGGCTGACATGGATCAGAGCATTGTTAGCTTCTTCTCTGAACCGACGTGTCAAGCACACTTACCACTCTACTGCTACACCAGCTAGCACAGCCTAAGCAGACAAGACCAGCCATCAAGAGGAGAAGCCCCTTGGTCAGCCACTGCTCATCATGAGAGGGTATCTTACTTAGAGTATTTGATGTGAGGTCTGCCTTCATTCTTAACCATTTAGGTGCATTCTTACAGCCTCATATCACATTTTTACATCAATCCAGTCTATACCTAAAGATGAATAATAAAGGTTCAGCTTCAGCAGATAACTTTTACTCTTGACTTCAGATTCCTAATAGGAGGTGAACTGTTATAGACAAACTAATGCCTCTGTCACTATTCTGACGCTATGGTATCTCTCTGCATAAGCCAGTCTCTTTCACCAGTGGATGCTGATAGAAGTATGGTAAGAACCAGAGTATTCAGGCTCTGGGGTCTGACACACACGCCTTTTTAAATCCTGAGTATGTCACTTACTAGAATGTGACTTGGACAATCCGCTTAACCTCTGCAAGATCAAGCTAACTTCACTGTAGCCCTACTTCAAAGGTTTGTGCAAAGATAATGCACATGAAGTTCTTAGCATACAACTGGCCCTCTCAAAGTCCATCTCACTCCTCAGTAGGAGTGAGACATATTGTCGCTGCCACTTTGCCCTGAGAATTGCTCAGAAGAAAGGTCCCAAATATCTCCATTCTTGACTCATTACATTTTTGCTTTTCAAAATGAAGACACATACACACAGGTCCGTGCACACACAGCCCTCCCCTTCATTTCATGTTTCTACCCCTGAAATTTACTCCCCCCTCACTGCTCACCACACATCCCTCCCTTGGAAAAAACGCTGATCTCCTGATCCTCCAACAGCTCCTGTAATGTGTAGACCCCTTCAAGGCCCCACTCAGACTCACCCCTGGAGCAGCTGGGTAACTCCGGCTCCCACTTGTTTAGAGCTCCACACTGCACTCTGCGGGGTCCTTTCATGACAAAGCCAGGCTGACAACTCAATACCACAATTTCATTTAAGGAAAATAAGCTTCTGTTACCAGATGCTATCATTCCATTTTCAACATTCGGAGGCGTGCATTTATTAGGTACAATGCACTGAGGGGGAGGGCCGCTCCAGACGCCGACTTGATCCTCATTGCTGGTGCAATATATGGACTCCTCACCCACAAGGTCAAACACTGGTTTCCCCCTGTTTCCACGTGTGCAGCGATAGGTCACCACCTGTCCGTATTCAAAATATTCTCTGTTGCTGAAGAACTTTCCATTGGGGATGGCTGGGGGTGGCTTACACATAATACCTGGGAAAGAAAGATCAAGATAAACAAAACCTAGGTTTCTTAAAATTATACGTAATTACAAATTTTGGTTTGTTTAGCTTTGGGATACTGCAAACGGCCAAAAAGTAAATATTCACAAAACCACTCTCTTTCAGGTCAGGAAACTACAATACGACGGGTTTGGCTTTTCTCAGTTTACATCATTTCAACAAATGTAGCCATACAGTCTTAGAATCCACATATTTATTTCCCCTTTTAAGTGAGAATTTAACTGTTATTTCACCATTGCTAATTTGGGCCGCTCTCCATGGAAGACAGTTGGCTTTATTAACATGCTAAAGCCTCCTGGTTAGTAATATGGTAAAGCATTCCATCTGTATTATGTAGCATCTTTATGAAATAAGTAAAAAGAAAGAGCTCTGGAAGAACTAATAATAAAAGGACAAGGCATAAATACACAGCATTATATATAATCAACACAGTAATTGCAGATTCAGAAGTTAATAAAAAAGAACTGAATACTGTGTTCTAGTCTATGCTAATTTGAAAATGAGAATATTAGGGATAAAGATATATTTCACCAATCTTGACTCCGGAAAAGGGAGAAATTTTGAATACCCCACCACTATTGAAGACGTGGAAAAGTGTGTTACAAATACTACTCCTGAAAAGATATGAGGCACGACTAATTTCATAGACAAATTTAATCTAGTTTTTAAGTTATGGGTGACTCCTAGGCAAGTTAAATCATTCTAAAACATATATAACAATAAGATATATTTATCATTTTGGGCAGGTATACTTTAATGCAGGCAGTTTTTTTTTAATCTTTAAGAAAATCTTTAAGGAACTTCAAATTTATTATGGAAAGGCATAAAATATAAATAAAAATTATTTTAAGGCCATGATCCAGAAAGAACCACTGCTAATTGTTTAATATGTATGTACTCTTTCATACACAAAAAAATCATGTTTTTTCTAAAATATCTTTGTTGACTAATTAATATATCCCATTGTAAGAATGTACTACCCAATTCCATTTGGAAGAATTGCCTCTACAGTCTAAGGCCTCCTGGCATAGTTTAAACGTTTTCCTTTTTACAGAACACACCAGTTGGGTCTGACATTACTAACTTTCTTGTGCTATCACCAAACTCAAGGTCATATCCATTTTGTACTCTTTGTTAACTTGCACTTGCTCAGTCCTCTATGCTCCCCTAAGTGTGGAAAGCTCATCTTCCAAACAACACACAGGAGAGATGCCACGTCTCTGTTTAGCCAATAAGAGGAGGGAACTTCCCTGTGTAGATAGATGACTTAATATTTTTTTTTTTTTTTTTTTGAGACAGAGCCTCAAGCTGTCCCCCTGGGTAGAGTGCTGTGGCATTACAGCTCACAGCAACCTCCAACTCCTGGGCTCAAGCGAGTCTCCTGCCTCCGCCTCCCAAGTAGCTGGGACCACAGGCGCCCGCCACAACGCCCGGCTATTTTTTGGTTGCAGCCGTCATTGTTGTTTGGCAGGTCCGGGCTGGGGATTCGAACCTGCCACCTTAGGTGTACGTGGCTGGCGCCTTAGCCGGTTGAGCTATAGGCGCCGAGCCAGATGACTTAATATTAAGAGATGGCAGAGAGGAAATGCTACTTTGACAAACTTTGTATTTATTTACTTCACTAAGAAGAATGCTCTTCAAACTGGGAAGTGTCCAACCAACAAAAGAGAAAATGGGGGCTGTTCAAAATGAACCCAAGACTATAGTTTAAAATAAGTTACATCTCAAGATAAGAACATAAACACTTGTAGGTGGATCTAGAAGTTTGGAACACTGTGAGCTATTTTAAGGCTTTGACTATATTCTTTAAATATCAGGATTCCATTTCCCAGACGGATGACGTTGATTCTTTGTAATTCTAGGGCTACTACAGGATTAACTGGTAAGGTAAATGGGGAAAGAGCTTTAACTCACGCTGGCAAACTGGAGGCTCTGACCCCCAATCAACAGTATTGCCCAAGATGATACATTCAGCAGATGAGTCACCAAAAAGTCGGTACCTAAAGGTAAAAAAAAGAAAAATAATTATGCTGTTCACACCTCCTCAATTTCCTTACAGCATGTGACAAATTAGAAAAGTTAGAGTTGGGGAGAATTCTCAGGCCTACACTCCACCTATTGTGTCCTGCTTTTCTTATTTCTCTTTCCTTTCTCTCATTATCAAAACCAGGATTGCTTCTCTAACTCCTGGTGGCATGCACTGCTTTTTAATTTCTTGGCTTCACTGTGGATTGTACCTGGCATCAAAATAAAAAAATCCTTTGGAAGGAACGTTGAATTTTTTTTTCCCCTGAAATTCTGTCTTATTTTTCTCCTTTTGGTTTGCATTTTCCACGTCGATGAGGGCTGTCCAGAAAATATCCAGCCACGTGGCTCTGTTTTGCATAGTACATGGCTGGATACTTTCTGGCCTCGGAGGTGTTTGTGTATGCCATTACGTATCTAATAGCGTTGCATCATTTTACTTAAGGCAAGTTCCCTGTAAATATCACAAGCCTGGATGGCTTTTGATCCTATTTAGAAGACTTTGCCTTTCAAAAAAGAAATGAAACCGAACAGACTGAAATACAGGGCGTGTGTGGTCTTCCTTTTATCATCGCCCTACTCCCCCTGTCATTTAGTTCACCATATCCAATGAGGCGGATGAAGCAACGAACAAAACCGACCTTCCTAAACCCAAGAGGGCTTGTTTCTGGCAGAAGAGACAGATATGTTCCCTGCTATTCCTTTTCTTTCCCTCTCATTTGCTAGGTAGACCAACTCTTTTAGTCGTTCTAAGGACCTGGAAGTTAAACATACTGTTTTTTTCCATTAGAGATCAGATATGTGCCTGTGCACACATGTATTGAAATGTATTTTCTTAAAACAGCCTTAAGAGTCAAAATATGTATAGTCTACCAATCTCTTCTGTTGTATGTCCAGCCTACTTCTTGCTTTCTCTCATTGTCTAGTTTTGTTGATGTATTCTATCACTTCAGAGAGATTATTAAATTATAGGGACACCACAAATTTTCCTTTGGAAGAATTACTTCTGCTTTGTATTTAGTTTCAAAACTTTGCTAAAAATAATCGACCATATTTTTTGCTGTGTATGTTTGTTTGTTCAAGCCCATTTTCTATCTCATTGATATTTATCTTCTAACTCTTCATTCTCCTTTTAAAAAATTTAATTATTATTGTTTTCCTGAGAAGCATACTTAAATGGTATAATCTGGGGCTCACAGCTTATCTTCCAATGTGTATCTGGAGCTTCTAGATGTGACTACTAGCTTGGCTCTTTAGAAACACGATCCTGCACATTTTACTCAGGTAGAATCAATGTGGTACCAATATAAATTAATTTCTTTTGTAGCTATTATATTTTAAAAATTTTATTTTTGGATTCCTGAAGTTTTATGTCTGTCCCTGAAATGCAAGAAGATTCCTAGTGATAGCCAGGTATGGCCTGTTTACCCTTCTGAAATTTTCATTGCATGGATTTTGAATCCTAGCACTGTCTTATACGTATTCCCTTTTTTTTCTTTTTCTTTATCTTTTTCCACTAAATTTAAGGGGAATTTGATTAACTTTTTTTCTTATGCTCTGCTTTAATTTTCTGCAATATTCAATGTGTTTGTCATATATGTGTGTATATATATGTATGTGTCTATGTATATAAATTTTTTTTTCATTTGAAAATTGTTCTTTTCATTCATGTACAAACTTTCTTGGCCAGTTTCACAGTAGCAATTGTACAATTGAATCCTGTTAAAAATATGACTAGCAGATTATTCTGCAGGTTTTCCCTGTTTCTTGGCTGCAACTTTATTTTGTAGGAGGAAAGTTGACCTGACTTTTCATTGGAGTCTCTTTTATGGTCACTTCCTGTTACTTCTCATAAGCTCAATGGTTTTCTGCTTTATACGACAGAGAGGTTCACCCTTATCTTCAGTAATGCGTGAAGAGGAGAAAGTCATACCATTTATATGTTGTACTTAAAAATGCTCAGAAGAAGATGGAAGAGTTTGGATTAACTTTAATTTTACCCTGTCAGATTCTAGGTCCGGTGAGGCTCAGGATGGCAAAAGTGTGAGATAGCACAAATTTCTTTTTGGTGTTTGTTTTGGTGGCATGAATGTGGTCCATGTTTTCTACTGGCTTAGCTGTCCCCATGGAGAGTGGGATTGAGGCAGTGCCACCCCATGTGCCAAAGCAAGGGAGAACCAATGGCAGGACTGTGCTCAGGATGGCATCATACTTTTCTTTGCATTCAATTTTTCTTTGCACTCATGACTTGGCTAGCCATCTTTTTTATAGTCACAAGAGGCCTAGCTTTTGTCCTATCTCAGCTTTCAACATGGCTTCCCTACTAAGCTCAATCATTGCTAGTTGTTTTATTTTTTTTTTAATTTGTCTTAAAATTTCAGTAGAGAGATATGACCTTCCTTTCACTTGAACACCAAGGGGCCCTTGTAGGGCTATCGATTGGCCTAGTTTCAATGTTGTTGTGTCTCAGGAAATAACGAGGCCTGAGGAAAGAGAGAGAGATTGAGAGATGGCCTGTCCCTGGAGCAGTCAAAACACACAACATCTATCCATTAAGTCCCATCTTCTAAGATTTTGTGCCCCCAAACCATGACAATAGTAATATCAAAGGTCACTTATCACAGATTACCATATCAGAGATAGCAGTATGATAAAGTTTGAAATATTGTGAGAATTGCCAAAAGGTAACACGGACATACGAAGTGAACACAAACTGTCGGGAAAATAGTGCCAATAGAATTACTCCATGCTGGGTTGTCACAAACCTTCAACTTGTTAAAAAACATGGTGGCTGCAATGCACAGTGAGGTGAAGTGCAATAAAGTGAGATGCGCCTGTGCCTCATTACAGCCGTCCTCGCAAACCAACAGTGCATCAACAGCAGGACTGATTCCCACTCACACCTGATCTGGGCCTTCCCTTTCTTCCAGTGCTGTCTGCTCTGTTAGGTCTTTTCCTATGCTTTGACCACACTCTGCTCCTATCTTCTTCCTCTTCACTTGGTGAATGCCAGATTTTTTTACACGCAGTGCCCTGGTTTGTAGCAAGTAAGTAGCTCTTCCCCCTAAGCATACCCTTCGTTTCAATCCGGGATTAAACACCTATGTTCAATCCTTTTAAGAGCAAATGGTCATAGCCTGGTCATCCTTTCTAAGATGTGACTAGATGTAGTATTGCCTAGAATTGCCTCTTGAACCAAGAGGTTTCTGCTGACTCACCCTTCATTACAGGAATAATTGATTCTGGATCCAACCTGGCTGTCTGTGATCACGTGCACGATGCCATTCATAGGATCTGGGGGAGTTTTACACGATCTACCTGTGAGAAAGAAACCGAATTTTGAAGCCAGGTAGGATAATCTAAACATTTTCTAGAACTTTATGGTCCTATTTGCCTGTAGCTTACCAAAGAGCCTATGTGATTCTAATGATCCCTCAGATTTTGTCACTTGGAGGAAACTCAGCAGACTGCCTCAGGATCAACCACCTACTAAGTACCACTGTAAAAAAGACGCTCCATCCAGATCTGTCTTATTTCCACCTTGCATCAAAATGTAAAAGTCATTTACAGCATTATATGTTACTAGTATATTTTGAAGTTCTAAAAGGATTTCTTCCCACCTAGTTATTCAAGAAGAATTTATATTTCCTTACATAATTTTTTCCTGGCCTAGAGTTATGATTTATTTGCTTTCCCATAGGAAATGGAGATTTTCTCTGCATCTGTTCCTTGAAACATTCTCATGAAATGAGCACTTGAAACAATAATTCAAGGTGTCTTATAAGATCAACTCTTATATCCCCCTACCTGAACACTTTTGGAAAAAGATTTCTCATATACGAAGTTTGAAAAAATTAAATGAGAGCCTACAGATGCTTTGGCAGACACCAGGACGCTCCAGTGCATGGTTACTTACGTTTACAGACATCTTCAGGACTCGACCAGACTAGGTTTTCTAGACACGTGATAGAGAACAGCCTTCTGTAGTACCCAGGGCCGCATACATACTTTAAAGATGTCCCAATGGGAAAGTCAGATGTGTTGGTTTGGGTTCTCAACTCAGCAAACTGAAAATGATCTGGGGTTGTACAGTGACCTAGAGACCAAGAAGTCAAGAACAGCTGAGTTAATAAAAAGATACCCAAATGCTTTTCATCTTTCTTTCCCTTGTTAAATTTGATGGCAGAACACAAGAAACCTTTAGTTATGGAAAAATAATTGCCTGGTAACCTGGGGAAGGAAAGTTCCATTAGTGCATTCTTATCAGAAAATATACTATCTGAAAGGCTAGCCTGCTGTCTTCTCTTTCTGGTCATATAATTTAATGTAAAGATAGATCCAGTTTAATTTTTTACATTTGTGGGGAGTCAGAAAACATGCCTCCACTCAGGTTCCTCGTTTCCTATTTGGTTTTCTTGTACTTTAATGCATCAAACTCCAGTAGAAGACTCGCAAGCATTGGTAAAGAACCCAAGAGGTTTTCTGAAGCCTTAAAACAGCTACTAGTCTTCTAGGTATGATTCCTAAGCCACCCATTGCAAGAAGGAGGAGATAAATAGCATCTCCTTAGAATAAAAACAAAGAGCAAAAAAGTAAGTCCTATTTATAGCAAAGCATTGTATAAATTACATTTTAAATCAAATTTGAGCTTTAGTTGCATACCTGTCTGGCCCATTAGGTTTAGGTTCAAGAATTTGAATTCAAAAATATTAAACAGAAGTATATGTATACATATGATTTGAAAAATAGAAATTGTTTTCACTTGGTTTTGGCAATGCCTTCTCTTTTAGCTTCTGTTTCCGCAGTCCTCTGCCTTCCTTGCAATTATTCATTCAAGAAGTAAAAGTTACCCTAAAGGTAGCTACTTCTGCACCCAAAGAATTCTCTAGAACATTGGTTCTCAATCTTTCTAATGCCGTGATGTATTTTCAATGCTACAAAGGGGTCATGACTCACAGGTTGAGAACCGCTGCTCTAGAAGATTTACAAGCTGATTATCATTCTTGATCATAATTAAACAACTTTTCTCAATACAAAAATTTGTCTTATTTTCAAAGGAGTCTTCACAGGAAATTTATCTATGCATATTGACTGTTTCCTTTTTATCTTAAGCTTGAATATTGGCTCTACTAATTTCTAGTTCAAGGAACTGATATCATGACTAAAACCTAGCATTTCAGAACAAATCATACATAATGTTGATCTGGCAGGTCTCTAGCCTAAAATCTAACTGATAGATTAGAACTGCAGTCTCAAAATAGGATTCTGATGGAAAAAAAAATCACATCAATAAATGTGATTCACCACATAAACAGAAGAAAAAGAAGGGCCATATGGCCATCTCAGTAGATGCAGAAAAGGCATTCAATAAAATCCAGCATTCTCTCATAATAAAAACCCTCAACAAACTAGGCATAGAAGAAATATATCTCAAATTTGTAAAAGCCATATATGACAAACCCACAACCAACATCATACTGAAGTGGGAAAAGTTGAAAGCATTCTCCCTAAGAACCAGAATAAGACAAAAGTGCCCACTGTCACCACTTCTATTCAACATAGTACTGGAAATCTAGCCAGAGCAATCATGCAAGAGAAAGAAGTAAAGGGTTTCCAAACTGGGAAAGAGAAGATCAAACTATCATTTTGTTGATGACATGATCTTAAATCTAAAAAATCACAAAGATTCCATCAAGAGACTCCTAGAATTGATAAATAAATTCAGCAAAGTCTCAGGTTACAGTGTCAATGTACATAAATCAGTAACATTTTTATATACTAATAATAGTCAAGCTGAGAATCAAATGAAAGACTCAATACCATTCACAACAGCCACAAAGAAAACAAAATACTTATGAACATACTTAGTCTAGGAGGTGAAAGATGTCTATCAAGAGAACTATGAAAGAAATTTCAGATGACGCAAATATAAAAACATCTCGTGCACAAAGATTGGTAGAATCAACATTATTAGAAGGTCCATACTGCCCTAAGTGATTTACGGATTCAATGCAATCACCATCAAAATATCAACATCATATTTCTCAGATCTAGGAAAAATAATTCTACACTTCATTTGGAACCAAAAAAGGGCCCACATAGCTACAGCAATATTAAGCAAAATAACAAATTTGGAGGTATAATATTAACTGACTTCAAATTATACTACAAAGGCATAGTAACCAAAGCAGCATGGTAGGGTATAAAAGTAGAGACATAGACCAATGGAAGAGAATAGAGAATTCAGACACAAAACTATCTACCTAAAATCAACTGATCTTAAACAAAGAAGACAACAACATACACCGGAGAAAGGAAACTCTATTCAATAAATGGTGCTGGGAAAACTGGATAGCCACATGGAGAAGAAAGAAATGGGACCTCTATCACTTGACATATATAAAAATTAATTCATGATAGATAAAAGATTTAAATATAAAGCATGAAACCATAAAAATCCTAGAAGAAAATATAGAAAAAACTCTTCTAGACCTCATAGAACTTACTCTTCTAGACCTCATAGACCTCTATTCCTCAGTTTGCTAAATATAGGTATTTGCATTTATAAATAAGCTCATAGGTATATCCCAAGAGTGCTGGAGGGGTGAGTGAGGACAAAAATGGCTTCTAGGTAATCACCACTTAGACCATTTCCTTTCCTTTAATTATTATTACTTTTAGAAATGGGGTTTCTATGTACAGTAGAACCTCTGCAAGTTGACCACTCAATGAACTGTAACAAACTGGTCAACATACAGAAGTGGTCAACATAAGGAACTAGGCCTCATGTACTGATATATGCATATGGTGCATGCCCAGTCTATGAAAATTAGGTCAACTTAGGGAGGTGGTCAACAATGAAGGTTGTACTGTATTTCATAGACTGGGCATGTGGCTCAGGTATGATCATAGCTCACTGTAACCTTGTACTTCAGGGCCTAAGCTATCCTCCCACCCTGCCTCTGGAGTAGCTACGGCTATAGGTGCACACCACTACACCTGAAGGTCTCTTTCCTTTTAGAACAACTCTTCTCTCTGAGAGTTCCCCAGTGATCAGTGTTTTGCCAGGACTAGCATTCCTTCTACAATTTACTTCCTCCTTCCCGTCTTCATTTACTGAAGGTGGGTGTCTTAGGGTGTCTTAATCAGCCTTCTCCAGATCTTAGAAATCCATAATCTCTTTATTTTGCTTTTTCCCCTTTACTTTTTGTTTTCACCAAAGTATGTAGATTCCAAGGGCTAAAATTTGTGTGGGGCTAGACCTTATTTTGATTTTGAACTTAGTCCAGAGGGCTAAGGGAATCTTTGTAGTGTGTTGGCAATGCAGCCCAGTTTTCAAAGAAAATACACAAGGGTCTCAGGACAAATAGGTAACTAAAATAGATTTTGCCTAGTTTTGTTCCTTCCTGGCTTATGCTTCCCTCCAAAATCTGTGAAAAGGGCAAAACTTATACTAGTTAAATTCATAGGTATTTGTTTTCAATTCTTAAGATTTGAAAATATTTTTTCTGATTAAGGACCTTCCCACTACCTATCATCTCCCTCCCTTTTCACCAGCCCCTCCAGCTGCAAAGGTCATCAGAATCTTATGTGTAATGTATCTTTGAACTGTTTATTATTGGTTTGGCATTTAATTGTGTCAAATGCACAAGTAAATTACAGAAATATGGGGAGAAACGTGCACTTACCCAGAAGTCCACAGCGAGGGGCAGGGCTGCTCCAAATCCCATTCCCTTCATGGTCACTTGTGCAGCGGATGGTGCTCTCCCCAATGAGGCCGAAGGGCATCCCTATTTCTGGGTGGGGGTCACATGTATATGTCACTTCTTTTCCAAAGGGAAAGACCTCAGAAGGTTTTCCTGTGTGTCTCCCATTAAGAATAGCTGGAGGACTTGGACAAAAGATCCCTGAAAAGAAAGCAAGAGCTCTAAGTTTCATAGGGAAGTTTTTATCAGATGTATTCCACAGTCACAGGGTGCTATGATTGGTGCTGTTTAAAAACTGCTAAGGAGATGAGAGTGGATATTAAGCCTTTGAAGAAATGGACTACATGGAATGAGATCTTCATCAAAGTTTCTTGCAATAGTATGAAAGAAATTTGCCTACCCTGTATCTTCTGGATAGTCGAGTTTTTTGAACAATAGAAACTTTTGCCTTTAATTAAATTGCACCTTTAATTAAACACCAAACTTTTAAAGAAGAAAAATAGTTATTCTGTGGTGTAATCACTCATTTCATCACCATAGATGAATTCAGCATTGACTCAGTGTCATTCACTCATCAGGGCCCTGGGATCACAGTGCTAAGGAGGACTAACAAGGTCTTTGTCCTCCAAGGAGACACTTTCTCAGGAAATATTTCTAAAATGTATGCATGTCACCATGTAATACTATTCAGTCATAAAAAAGATAGTGACTTCATATCT